TTCTCTTGAGTCTACACCTCTCAAGGCTTTCTCTGCATTTCTGTGATGTGTGGATATGCTTCTGCGTTGAGCTCCTGCCTACACAATCTCTGCCCACACAGGAGGCTCTTCTTTTGCCATAATTAAACAAAGAGGAAAATGGCTGGGAAGGCAGCCAGCTGGAGTCTGAGCAGGCATTAATGTTGGACAGGGGAAAGAAATAGGGGGCAGTATTGGCCTTCCAGGTCCCCGAGCTTGTGCTCTGGGAGAGCAGAGCCACATACCCAGAGGCTGTCTCTGGCTGGATAATCATACGTGGTGTCTGACTGGGCCTCATAGTTGGTCAATAGAAAACAGAAATCTACCAAGTCAAGGCCTCACTTGAGGGCTATAGAGTCAAAGAAAAGCCACTCAGAGAAAGCTTCCAGGATGTCCCCAAATTATTAGCTTCTGGTGCTCCTGTGGGTCCTGCTGATGACGAAGGCTGAGAGCAACAGGCTGAGATACTGAAACTGGGAGGTCCTCGTTAATATTATAGAGGAGTTGAGTTAAGCTCCCAGGACTCACAACCATCTGTAACTCCAGTTCCATGGGATCTGATGTCCTCTTACATCTGAAGGTGCCAGGCGTACATACACAAGCACACATATAAATAAAATAAATCTAAAAAATTTAAAAAGGAAGTCTGAAAAAGTGTTTTCACAGACCAGTCAAGACCACAATGCCCACCAATGTTATTTGTTGCCCCTGAAATTCCATTTCTCCCTGGGTATGTCTCCCAATTTTTCCAGAGTAATTCTGAAGCCTGAAACAGATGGTTGCAAGAGGAGGAAGAACCTGGCACCCTCTGCTGGCCACATATGGTACTGCCAGAAGAGCCCAGAGGCCATAAATTCTTGGGCCCACAGGACCTAGACAGCTAGAGCCTCAGAACTTTCAAGGCAGAATCACAGGTAGAGGGACATGAGTGATAGATGATATTCATTATGGAGAACTCTCTATCCACCTGATGCTGGTGGGAATTCTATATTCATAAATTAATCTGCATTTTAATTTTCTAGCATTTGTTCTCAATAGCACTAAAAGATTTTGTAGAGCAGAAGCAAACCTCAAGTATAACTGGCTACAATTACATTCTCTGTCCTACCTGCAGTATTTCAGTCCAGCCTTACAGGTACCCCAACTTGAATCATGATTTTGATACCAGCTTGACAACCCATTTCTGATTCCAGACTCAAACTCCTGCTGAACCCCAAGCAAGAATCCACCTGCCTTGCCCCCTGTTCTTAGAGTTTGCATTAGCTCTTACCTTGGGTGGATAGCCCTCTATGAATCTGACTCCTTTCCAAGGTTGACAAGTTATTTCTATATGTCTTCCATGGCTAGCAGCCAAACACACAGGAAGAGAGAGAAAGAGAAAAAGAGAGGGAGAGAGAGAGAGAGAGAGAGAGAGAGAGAGAGAGAGAGGAAGAAGAAGAAGAAGAAGAAGAAGAAGAGGAGGAGGAGGAGGAGGAGGAGGAGGAGGAGGAAGGAGAAGAAGGAGAAAAAAAGGAAAGAAAGAAAGAAAGAAAGGAAGGAAGAAGAAAACAAAGGGAAAGAGAGAGCTAGGGTAGGATGGGCTGGTAATTTTTCTGCAGGAGAATATAGCTAACTGGGGTAATAGGAGAGGGTGAACACCTTGAATTTCAGCCAGTCCGAGGTAGCCTGCAGTCATGACTCTTGAAGACAGCGAGGGCCTACGTCTGCTGGAAGTGAGAAGAGCTAATCTCAACAGCTGTGATCTCAGCAGGAAAGCCCTTGACATATTTTGACAGTTCAGGGGCAAATCTAGCAGCACACGTAATGTAGGGGTGTAGATGCTTGCCCCGATCCCCACTTCTCCAGTGTAGCAGGTGGTTCCCACCTTTTCAGCTGTGTCCTTGAGATCACACTTCATCACACTGGACAATCTTGTCAGTAGGTCACAGCTTTGCTTTGCAGGAATGACTTGGTATCCCCTGGTTACCACAGTGACTAATTAAAAGCATTGCAATGCTGTCTGTGAAAGAAGGAGCTTGAATTGCTTTAGCCCCAAAGCTGGTACTATTTCTGAATGAATGAATAAATTAATACATAAATAAACATAAAAATAATAGATGTAGGTTTCATTTCATTCATGTGAATTAAGTTTCCTTCCATGTGACTTAGGAGCCCTGTGATTTGGGGTACGTTATCTAATCTCATAGCTTCATTTTCTTCATTTCAGCATGGAGATAGTACTGGTATTCTTCTCATATGGCTGTAATGATAAATTGAGACAATACATGTAGCCCAGAACCTGGGGTAAAGTAATTCCTCAATAAAACAAGTCTAGTATTTTCAGTTGCTCTATGGGCTCCAGTTTCCTGCTCTGGAGAGAATGAGTATAATAGTAAACTTCCTAACATTGTTATAAGAACCAAAAATATAACGGGTGTATAGCAGTCATGAATGCCTCCTTAATGATATGAAAAATAATCTATCTATCTATCTATCTATCTATCTATCTATCTATCTATCTATC